CGCGCGATGACGATGGATGCGCGCGATGGGGGGGTGCGCGCGCGCGCGGCGGCGGCGCAGGCGTTGGCGAGCGCGCGCGCGACGCGGACGTTGGCGTACGTCGAGTCGTTGCGTTGGGAGGCGAACGGGTGGGGGGTAGGGGGGGTGGCGGCGGACGCGCGGGCGAGCGATTCGAACGCGCGGACGAGCGATTCGGAGGACGACGACGAGGACGACGACGACGACGAGGACGGTGAAGAAAGAATGACGGGTGGTGTGTCGCGGTGTGTAGCCTGTGTTGATTCCACCGTGATCGCCGCGCGCGATGGGGCGTCGGCGGACGGGGTGGAGCGACGTTTTACGAAACGCGCGGAACCGACGGCGCGAGAGGAGGCGCCTGCGGGCGTCGACGCGCTCTCGATCAGCCACACGATCTCGGCGTCCGTGAAGACGGGTGTGTTGTCGACGGTGTTATCCGCGAAGTGGTTCACCGCGCTCGCGGTGGGCGCCACCGCGGTGGTGGCGCCGTACGTCATGCGAACGTCGAGCGGGACGCCGTACGCGTCGCTCGCGCTCGGGTCCGGGCGGAACGGCGGCGTTCGGGCAAGAGAGCTCGCGCTCGAGAGCGACCGCGACAGATACGGCGAATACGGCGAGCGTTTGCGAGCGATGGAGGCGACGGCTAAAGCCAACGTCGCGGTGATGCGAGATCGTCTCGGAGAACTCGAGGAGGAGCTTCGACGGGCGAATGAAGAGCTCGAGCAAGCGCGCGCAGAGGCAAAATCCTCAAAGAAGACGCGAAAGAGACTGATGGAGGCGCAAGCCGAGGCGAGCGAGGCGAGCGCTCGAGAGGCGGCCACTAAGGCGGATCGCGACGCGGTGTGGAAGGCTTTGCGAGGCCAGCTAGAGGAAGCGGCGAAGGCGCGCGCCGAGATGGAGACAGAGGCCATGGCGGTGACGGCAGAACTCGAGCAGGCCAAGGCGGCTCTCGAGCGAATGACGACGTGCGGTGATGGTATCTTGAACAAAGACGCGATGGATGAATTACGCGCCTCGCTCGCCGCCGCGGAAAACGTCAAGACTTCGCTCGAAGAGTCAGTCGAGCACCTGCGTCGACAGTTGAATGAGACGTCGACGTCAAAATCCATCGCCGAGGAGCAGCGCGAGGCGCTTCGCGAGGAGGCGCAACGCATCAAGAATACCTTATCGGCGAAAGAGTCGAGACTTACTGAGCTCGAATCGCGCCTCCACGAGTCGGAGGATAAAATCACCTCGCTCTCAAAGGAGCTCGATGCGAGCGACGAAAAACTTCGAGAGGCTTCGAAGCGCGCCAAGGACGTCGAGAGTAAGTTATCCTACGATGAAAACAAGTTTACTCGAGAGCTCACGAGGCTTCAAGAGGAAATGGACGCGGCGAAGCGCCGCGCGAATGTGGCGACGAGCGCCATGGAAGAGGCAGAAATATCGCGAGATGTCGCTCTGGAGGAGTTGCGCTTGGCGCAGGCGGACGCCGTCGCAAAATCCGCCGAGCTCTCAAAAGTGCAAGACATGATTTCGCACGAATCGAGCGCGGAGAAGCGTCGACTAGAGGATGAGCACGCGAAACTTACGTTGCAACTCAATCGTGCCGAGGCGGCGCTCTCTGAGTACATCGTCGTGTCCGCGGCACAGCTCGAGTCGGTGGTCAGCGAGCAGCGCGTCGCTTTCGACCTGGAAGCGAAGTCTCTGCGCTATAAGCTCGATACGGCGCTTCAAGAGATGGAATTCGCAAAGAACGAGCTCGAAACGTTGGAAGTAGACTCGGCTGAAGTGCAGGGCTCGTGCATGTCAGATCTCACTCGCGTCTCGAACGAGCTTTCGTCCAGAAACGCGGCACTCGCGGAGGCGCAAGTGGCGTTGGCGGCGCTGGAAAAGGAAATGACCGAGTTCAAGAGTGCCCGACAGGCAGACGAAGAACGCCTCGCTGCCGAGGAAGCGGAGCGTCAGCGCATCGCTGCTGAAGAAGCAGAGCGTCAGAGGATTGCCGCCAAGGAAGCAGAGCGCCAGCGCGTCGCCGCCG